ATTTTCCATTCAGGGGAAGTTCCTGAGAGAGAACCAAGGTGAGAGTAGAGTGTCACAGCAGACCGTTATAGCCTTTCTCCAGGGCACAGTGAGAACTCAGAAAGAGAAATAAGAACTGCGATCCGAAGGTATGACTCAGCTCTCCACCCATGTCAGTCCTTTGAAGAAAAACTCTTTTTCAGAGACACATAATTCTCCTGGAGGACTTGGTGCAGTGTCATTGGCAACCTGGCCTTTCTTCCTGGGATGTCTAGGTTAAAACTTGTCAGAGCTCAGAGGGGAGGAAACGTCATTCATACCCAATGGATGTCTTTTGGGTGCAGTTAGGACATTCAACCCAGTTCCTAGCAGATCCCTCTGGGCACCAAGGCCAAAATGAAGGGCAAGATCTATTTACCAATGGACCCCAAAGAGGGCGCTTCCAGTTAATGTTTAAAAGGGCCATAAGGAAGAACAACCTCCGATCTGCGTAGCGTTTGTGGCTTTCAAAGCATTTTCTTATGCACGATCTTCATCTCGTCCTCACAGTACTCCAATGCGTTAGGCGACAGCACTTTATTCTAGTGTACTGGTGAGAGATCTGAGACTTTGAGATGTTAGGTGACTTGCCCGATGTCATGCAACTATTACGTGACAGAGCTGGGATTGAAGCCCAGGCTTTTCTAGTCCAAAAACCATGCTCTTTTTAAACCATTTAAAAAATCTGAAGTATAGTTAATTTACAGTTTGTATTAGTTTCAGGTGTACAGCAAAGTGATTCAATTATACTTACATATATTGTTTTCTAGATTCTTTTCCATGATAGGTTATTACAAGATATTGAGTAGAGTTCCCTGTGTTATACAGTAGGCCCTTGTTGTTTATCTGTTTTATACATAGTAGTGTGTATCTGCTAATCCCAAACTCCTAATTTATCCCTCCCCATCCCCTTTGGTGACCATACGTTTGCAAAAGCCATATGCACTCAACGACCACACTTACAGTTCCTCATGGCTAGGTGCACACAGCTAATACACGTTAGGACAAGACAGAATCTTTTCATTCAAGTTGGCCACATACTGGCTGTTTACCAAGTAGCTAATTCAGCAGCTCCCTTTAACATCCCATTCCTTACAAGAAAAGGGAAAGTAATGGATCTAGTCTCTCAAATATGAGGCTTTTTAGATCGTCACTACAGTAGTAACGATGATGATGATCTGATGACGGTGATGAGGTAAAGTAGTGAGTACTTACTACGTGCCAACCGTAGTGTCAAATGATTTGGCCTGTGTTCACTCACTCAATCACCGAATCCTCACTATGACCCAGTGAAGTAGTGCTACCTCTGTTAACCTCCGTGTTACAGATACTTAGGTCTTGAGCCCAAGGTCAACCAGCAAGTGACAGAGCCAGGATTCAAACCCATTCGACCACACGCCTGTGCTCTCTCGCTCACTCTCCTCCACGGCGCCACACGACTGATGTCCAAGCCACATGGACGCAGCTGCTTCCCAAATAGTCCCAACCGAGGGAGCAAAATGCGATGGGGAATGTGGAGAGAGCACGCAAACTTTCAACAGATATTTTCAGGGTACCATCACCATGGCTCTTCCACTGAAACTATGGGCGTATGTGATTGAGCATCTCTGACTTAAAGAATCACCAGAAGGTAAAATATCTTGTTAAAAATATATTTTACATCCCCGAGTCTCTGTGGCCGACAATTTGGCATCTTTAATTTGTATATTACGCTTCTCCCCTTCAGGCTTCCTGCTGTATTTTCCCGTTTGCAGGAATAATACTTAGCATTTAAACACATCCTAATTGTTCTATCGGTGTCTGTGCACAGGACCCGCTCAGCACGGCCAGTACTGCCGTCGGGGGTGCTCGTGGTGGGGCAGGGAGAGGGGAGAGTGTTCTGATGACGAGAGACTTGGGACTGAAATGTCAAATTAGAAACTGACACATCTCAACCCCGTGTTTCATTTTCATACGTGCATTTGCAATGATTCTCTTGGGATTCTTTATGTTGTAAACCATAGCATTAGGTCTTAAGAGCTTTGGGGAAAAGATTGGTGTGTACTCACCAAATCTGGGCAATTTGGGTGCAATGATCATGCATGAGATGATCTGAGGATGTCTCCAGAAAGCTAATGGCTTTTTTATTGAACCACACGTGCCTGAATGTAGCTACCAGGTTCTGAGAACGTCTCTAAGTATAATGACGGCTCAAACCAATGGTGTGGTCTGGTCCCTTGGACACATCATTTATTGTACCAATGCATTTGTTCGGATGCTTTTCCCTCCAATCATCCTGCCACAAATAGATGTGGCCGGAGATGTGATGGTCCCATGTGGCACCATGTTATCTCACCTGAAAAGAAAAAGATTTTGGTGGTTCCTCAATAAGTTAAACATAAATTACCATAGGACTCAACAATTCCACTTCTAGGGGGAAGAATCAAAAGAACTGCAAAAAATTAAAAGATTCAATTCAAAAGAACTGAAAACAGGTGTTCAACAAAAATATATACTGTATACACAAAGGCTCATAGGAACTCTATCTGCAAAGCCAAAAGGTGGACCCAAATGTCCATCAACTGACGAACGGATGAACAAAAGGCAGTGTATATCCATATGACAGAATAGTATTTAGCCGTAAAAAAGGAATGGAGCACTGATCCAGGCTACAACATGGACGCACCTAGAAAACATGATGCTAAGTGAAAGAAGCCAGACACAAAAGGTCACAATATTGTACGATTTCATTCAAACGAAATAGGCAGATCCACGTAAATGAGTGGTTGTCGAGGGCTGGGGAGTAACTGCTTAATGTACGGTTTCCTTTTGGGGTGACGAAAATATTCTGGAACTGGTGTTGGATCCACAACCTTGTGAATGGACTAGATGCCACTGAATTGTAGACTTTAAAAGGGTGAATTTTATGTTATGTGGATTTTACCACCACGACAAAAAAAGGAAAATGGTGTCAATCCACACATATTGGAAAAAGAATACTGGGCTTCAGAAAGCCAGGACTCACCAAAACTTGCTGTCACCGTGGCCTGTGCTACTGCAAAAGCATCCGCTCCCGGCCTTTAGGCTTCGGGCTTTGTAACTAGTCCTGGAACTCGAGGGCTCATGTTTATAACCTTGCTCCCGCTTCTTGCTTCCTGGACCCAGCTAGGGGGAAGTAAGCTGTCATTTTGCCTTACCTCAGATATCCCAGTTCAACCTCCCCTTCAAATGAGAAGTTCTGTGGGGAAGGCGTGGCAGGCTAAGGGCCGCGGGCCACAGAGAGCTTCCCACTCACCAACCGGGATTACCCGAGGGCCTCGGCATTGACACGGTCACCGCATACATCCTAAAACCCCAGATGATTCAGGCCAGCTGACCCGATGCCACTTCTTCAGGTAAAGACAGAAAATAACAACTCGAGAAGCCAAAAAAGGAGACTGCACTTGTGTAATCACATAGAGAAGACGCCAACATGCAAACTCTACCTTCACTTACTGTTGATGACTTGCTTGAAGCATTTTCATTAAAATGTCATCTTGCATCTGTCAAAATCAATGACCTAGGACTGGGGGGGAGGGGTTATTTACCATTATAATGATTTTTTGTTTTTTGTTTTTTGTTTTTTTTTTGCGGTACGCGGGCCTCTCACTGTTGTGGCCTCTCCCGCTGCGGAGCACAGGCTCCGGACGCGCAGGCTCAGCGGCCATGGCTCACGGGCCCAGCCGCTCCGCGGCATGTGGGATCTTCCCGGACCGGGGCACGAACCTACGTCCCCTGCATCGGCAGGCGGACTCTCAAGCACTGCGCCACCAGGGAAGCCCCGTTATAATGTTCTTGTCACTGGCATATTAAATGCAGAAAGCAGGAATGGCAGACACGGGAATTTAAGTGTGCATTTTACATTTGCTCTGGAGTCCGTGACCCAGGTAGGAAAGGGATTGCTTGCATTCAGTAAACGTACCACAAGCCCCCGGGAGACGACTGTGTTTGTTCTTGATAAAGCACCAAAGCTGCAAAGATGCAGTTTTTACATATTATCCAAAATGCAAGCAGGATAAAGCGGAGAAAGTAAGGGAGAGGGAAGTTTTGGCTACATAACATTAAGAAGTACTCAATTTTAAAATTACGCGGAATGGTAGGAGTTCTCGTGCGGTCAAAAACTGTAGACGAAAATGGAGTAGATAAGCCTTGAAGAGTCTTCCCTAAGCTTTTTTCTTTGCAGGCTCCTCAGAAAATATTTAGTGAATATGGAATTCTGTATTTGTTAACTATCTTGAAACACTAGTTTCACGGTAGAAAGAACATGGTCAGGTATTGGCTTTAAAAAAAGGCGATCCTTCTGTGTTCCTTATTTGAGGCTCTCAGCACACCCAGGAGGACCCCACACGCGAGACAGTTTTCTGTCCCAGAGAAAACACATCAGCATCACTGATATCACGCACTACACTGCCATTCTCACGATTCATACATGATACCTAGCTTTTTCAAATCAAGAGGTGCAGGCTCATTGGAAATGCTGAAAACACACATTCTTGCCATCTAATTTGGCGGTAAGTACTGTAAATATTTGTGATGCAGAATGGAAGAAAACAAGGCGGCAGCAAGTTTTTGCCAAATGCCTTTTGCCCGAAGGTTCATGTGAGCCGCAAGCTACTGGGCACTGACGGTCAGCTGTGTCCTGAAGTGGCACCCCTGGGAAAGGTGAACGGAGCAGTCATGTTTATACCCTAAGGAACGAATGAATGAGTGTGGGCGCTAGGCCTCGTGGTGGAGTCACTACAGGAAAGTTACACCGCACTCGAGACCACACTTAGTCCAGGAGAGGGAAAGATGTGAAAGTGTGAGCTGATTCGACCTGTTCCAGGGCACTATGCCTGCCCTTGCTTCTCTCCCTCTCTCCAAAGTTCACAGATGAAGCGGGTAGGCTTCTGGAGGGCAAAACCATTCCAGGTCCTCTAGCTCCCTCCCCGTGGGTCCCAAACCGAGCCCTAAACTGGTCCTACCTGGTAGAGCTCAGTGGCAGTGCACTGAGTGGTCAAGGTCTTCACGGGTTCAAGGTCATCTTCATCGCTGCTCAGCTTAAGGTCGTCTTCAAGCATCCTACAAAAAAAGCCGAGTGGCATTGACGTTAAAAAGCGTCTTTTCTAAATCATCCTCAGATACATCTTGCGACGAGGATAAAATATTGGAGCTCCAATCTGACAGCTGCAATTCTGTCAGAGGTGCAGAGGGAACCAAGATTCTTTCAGCTAATTAGATATTTGAGCTCTTATATTTCTGTCAGACTCTGCACACATCCTGCCTCTCTACCTTCCCCTAAATCAAGGGGGGAAAAAGCACTATTTCAGCATCTCCAGAGATGACTGGAGTCTATATATTTTTACTACTGAAAGTGTAATAATGTACAGATCAGTCACTGTGGAGGTGGAACGTGCCGGTGGATCTCTACAGGAAAAGATGCTCGAAGTCTCCCATGAAAGAACAGGGGCATGACGGCGGCCCCCGGCTCTAGAGGCTGTCGTCAAAGTCTGCGGGGGCTCTCCGGATGGCAGAGGCAAATGGCCCGGTGAATCTCCACTGCCTTTCCGTGTCCCCTGCACAGTGGCAGCTCGGTGGCCACAAAATAGCTGGGCGAGAAATGGCTAGTCATTAACCTTTTGATATATGACCCATCTCTTCCCGTAAAATTTGATCCCAGAGACGTAAGCCCATGATGTGGGTGATGAACTAGAGCACTTTCAAAATTGTTTATCGAGCACACAGAGCCTTCTGTTTCTATGGGGATATTAATTCCAGTGCCACCCGCTCTCCAGCTCCAAGTCTGAGCTACTGCAGGAAGAGTGACTTATTACCTTAAATTCCAGTTACACTCCTTTCAAAGACCAACTGGTGTTAATATTTTTTATTTCTTAAACGCAGGTTTAGACCTCATCCCCAGCCTCTCTGGACTGATTACTAGTTTCTGAGCACGCTTTGCTCTTTCTTGCTTCCAGACTCTGCGTCAGGCTCAGCTCCCAGGCTAGAAGTCCCTTCTTCAACTCTGGAAGTCCTATTTTTTCCTCCACGGCTCAGTCAGATCCCACCTCCGCCACAAAAGCTTTTGAGGAAGAATCCCTCTTCCCTCTCTCCACCCCAGCTCCGGCTGATGCCAGCTCCAGCTGTCCCCCGAGCACCGCCCCCAGTTCCCACGTGCACAGGCGCGGTACCTTATCTACCTCTGCCTTCTGCACAGCGTCTTCCCAGAAACGATACAGTCCACCAGCCTCATTTTGCAGACAAGCAAAGAAAGGTTCCGAGAGGCCAAGTGCTTTGCTCAAGGTCACACAGCTACTTAGTGCTAGAGCCCGTCCTAAAACTCCCACCTCCTGATTCCCACCTACGTGTTATTTCCAGAAGGGAAGCTGGAAAGCGAAAGGCAGCTTCTAATTTGATAAATAGGGGAGCGTGTTATGTCAGAGGTTATGTCCAAATGTTAGAAAGAGATTCAGGTCAGAGTGGGTTCCAGAAACTCTCCAAAGAGAGCCCAGCTCCTCCACTTTCACGCTCAGCCACATAAGACCAGGATGTGTTCACTGAGGTCTGAAACCCGAAGACGGATATAAAGGATGATTGGTGGGAAGGACAGTTGTTAGAGTTGGTTTCAGATAAACGAAATGTGCAGGATTTATGACTGTCCTTCAAGAGACTAATGGATGTTTGGAAGATCTTAGAGGAGACATTGCTTTTGCAGTTGCGGGTTTATAACTCTGAACAAATAATTCTTTACAGCACATTGTGCTACATGAAGACAGTATCATTCTCACAAGCTTAGAACTCAAACATTTAAAAACAACCTATGCTGGGCTTCATTTTCTGTGTGTGTACGTGTGTATGTGTGTGTGTGAATACAGTGTTAATTTACACCTAAGTGTTCGGCAAAATAAATGATAAATGATTCTTACCCTTCAGAGGATCCATTTCTGTGTCAGGGAAGGTGCTGAGTATTTGACCAGCAGCGTGTAATTTGTGATTTGGACCTTACGAAGGAAGTTCCCATAGTAATAATAATGATTAGTCCCATGTTCCAGATGGAAACACTGAGGCCTAGGGAGGTTAGGGAACTTGTTCATGGTCATACAGCTCGGAAATCACGGTGGCAAACATGGAACCCAGACCACCTCCAGCCAGAACTTGAGAGTATATAATGTATTCCTAGAGGATGTAACTTACAAAGGACAGAATATGAAATAAAATCAACAGCAACAACAAAAGCCCCACAAAATAAAACAAAACATATTGACCTGGGATCAAGACGTTTGGGTTCAACTGCGGGCGAATCATAAACTCTGATACCTTGGGTAAGTCATTTGCTGTCTCTGTGCCTCATCTGTGTCCCCCATCCGTTACATGGGATGATAATGAAACTTTTTCACACGGTGGTGGTGGTGAGCATAACATGAATTAATGCATGTGAAATGCTTTATGAAAACGCAAAATAATGCAGGGTGTCATTTATTAGTTTAGAAACATCACCGCAGTCAGAAAATAATGTACAGCATTAATACTGTTAGCAAGTAATCACAAGCCAACCCTTAGTGAGATTTTGCTCCTCTCATTTTAGTTTGCCAAGCAACCTGAAGGTAAGCCGTGGTGACTCGGGAAACGTGTCAGTGTCTCAAAGCTGGATCCACAAACGGGCTCAGGGTCTTCAGGCTACCCTCCTTCAGTTAGAACCAGAGCGTGGAGACCGGAACTCAGCATTTATTTGACTCTCCAATCAGCTCTGTAAGATCTTAATATGGAAATGAAAGACCCTCCAATGTACAGCTCGGCAAATAGGCAGCCAATCTGTACGGTGATTGACATTAAACATCTCCCGTGCAAGAAGCCTGGTACGGATCTGGTTAATAAAGGACAATCTGGTGCATAGATTCAAGTCCCGGCAAACACAGATCAAGGAAGTCACCGGGAAGGCAAACTAATGCGCTCTCTCTGGAGGTGTTAAGCATTCATTTCATTCCACCCCTTCCCTGACCTATTAAGCTTTATTATTGAATCTACATGGACTTGTTTGCGTTTCCATCCATAGCTAATGCTGAACATTACTCTAGGGAAAGTGGAGGATTATGAAAGATTTGGGATTTAATTCTTATAGCAGCACCATTCATGCCCATTGCAGTTGAGGTGGTCTCAGCAGAAAAATGGTAATCTCTTTTCATGAGGTTATAATTCCATAGATTCAGCACACACCGGACAGCCCCAGATGTGAACAGACCATGCTGACGTGAACGTCTGCCTACGCGTGTGGTCGTCAACAACAACAACGACCGTTCTTCCACTTTTCAATTGGATGAAAACAGAACAAAGCAGCCCTCCTTAGTGACTTCAGGTGTTTGTTCCGGATCTAGTGGTTCACGAGGTCTGCCTTTGCGCGAAAACTCTGTTTTTATTTTTACTATGACTTATCATTTCTTGAGTATTAAGAAGTAAAGTAGTCCATAAAAACTGTGTCAACAAAACAAAGTCCTGGACCTAGAAAAGCTCCAATACTGAAAGTTGGGGCAGATGAGATGGAATGAACAAAAAGAAGACTGGGGAGGGCTTGGAGGAGAAAGGAGAGCCATGTTCAGGGTCTTCTCTGTTCCTAATGCTCTGGGCCTCGAGCTGATCCTGGTGGCCTCAGAGGGCTCTTGGCACTGGGACATCCTAGGACACTACGGTGTGACAGGCCCCATGTTACTTATAACTGTAACATCTGCTCTCCAGAAACATTGCTCCTTCACAGAACGGAAAGCTCGGGTGATTTTGAAGAGGAAAAAATAGAGAGCTAGAAACATTATTCCGGAAGGTTCTATGGAAATGAAGACTTTAGTTGTGGCAGCGTGAGCCTCAGAGCAAGGGCTTGAGAGCCAGACAGACCTGAGTTCAAATACTGGATTTTCTAATGGGTTTGCTCTCTTGAACTAGTTAATAAAACTCTTTGAATCTCAATTTTCTCACATGTTAAAATCAGTAACAATAATACCTACTTTGGAGAATTTTTGGAAGGATTAGAAAAAGAAAGTTTATACAAATTGCCTAGGAGTCAATACAGGTAGCTATTGCTTTCATCTTGGTTATTATTGCTATTGTTGTTATTATTACCTGAGCAATGGTGCTATAGAGTTTGGAACAATTTTTTTTAAAAAGCTCTGGCGGTGACTCAAAGACTGGCAGAGGCACCAGCTAGCAGGCATCATTGGAAGCCCCTGACCAGGTGAGGAGAGGTTCAGAGATCCTTAAGGAGTTTGGAAAGTTTCTGGGCTTGGATTTATTCTCTAGAATGTTCTAAACACATCATGGCTGTTTGGGGTTTCCTGAGATCCCCCCAGAGTGCCTAAGATCCCCTGGATATCTGAAGGCCAGTTGCAAGAGGAAACACCCAGACAGTTTCAAGCGAGAGTGGCTCTGACGTCCTGCTCCTTATAGCTGTGGAGCGACCTGCAGATTCAGAGAAAGGGGCCAAGGAGGGCCCCCGCTGGACGCCGTGCTCACCTTGGGCACTGTCTTTGGGCCTGCCACCCTCAGGAGGCTGTTCCCAGACACACGTGACTTTAACCTTTGTATGTAAGACTGGGCTTCGGGGGCTGTTAGTTGATACGGAATCCTTGCTCGGAAGCAACCTTCCGAACCCTGAGTGGTTCTCCGGGCTTGTAAGCCTACACAGTGCCTTTCTGTGAATTTCAAAATGGTGCCCCTCTGGGCAGACAGCCCATCAGGCGCATTACTTATTATGGGCTGGATTCCAGCTTCCAGGTGTCAGTGGAGGTAGCTGCCGTGTTGGTGGCTGATGTGCAGGTGGACTACGGCTCTTACCGTTGGAAGTGCCTAGAGTGCTACTTGTCTCACCCGTCACCAGGTGCAGATACCTACTACATCCCTAAAGTACGGCCACAGCCTTTGTGTGATGCTTTTAGGCATTCGTTTCTACTGTTCAGTAGCTTTCATCGTTTTGAGCTCTGCCAGTTAGGAGTTGCCCTGTGCTGTCTTGTAGCTTCCGTCTAGTAGCCTGAGCCCTGTTCTCTATAAGCCACACTGGGAGACTGGACGTGGAACGGGGATGGGAGGTAGAGCCAGTGCTG